TAAACGACCTGCAGCCAGGCAGCGGCGGGCAGCACGGGCAGCGACCTGAGCTGCAGATAAAAACCTCATTAAAAACAGAAACAGAGGAAAACCCGGAGCCTCGTTGTCAAACTTGTTTCTCAACAGGTTGCAGACGGTGAGTCACCATCTCCCATATTAACTCGCTCGTCGATATCCAATTATTACCTGCGACATTCAGGTATTTCACATTCGATTGGCCGCATGTAAACATATTATCTGGTTGGCAATAACTTGGACAAGCTCTTATCTCACTTATGAGAAACCCGAGAGTGATGCGTGCCTGAGATTAGCCGGGATGCCGAGGCACGCACACACCTTATCTTGTTTACTGTTCGGCTTCTGCAGCCTGCCTAAGCTCTGTTTCCATGGTAATATTAGGATTTTTCCATGCTGAAATATTCTGAATATTGTTTATTCGTGTATGAATCAATCGGATATTGCCGATGCTCTGATTGCATTGATTTCTGGAAAAGCTCTATCCGCCCGTCTCCCTCATTCTATTCTTCCTCCCTGATATTATTTTTACTTTGGAGTCTTATTATTATTAAAAACATGTTCAGCTTGTAGCCAGAATATGCTGCTGCCTCTAATCCTGCTCTCAAAAACATCCAAAGACCAGAGAAAATTCTCCTTCTGCAAGCCCTCATGTTGCACCGGGAGGTCAGAGGTCAGGGTAGGTATTCGGTGCCTTACTGAAGGACTCTTAGGCAAGAAAGGATGCCCGTGTACTCGAGCGCTCCCCTGGAAGAGCCTCTTTCTGCTCCCCACTCAATCCCCAACAACTAACCAGGGGAAATCAAAGTTAAATACAGAAAATGAAAGGCAAATAAATAATCACCGGTGCACTGAGCTGCACCTCCGTGGATCCTATTTTGATTTTAAGGTGGGAGTTGGGAGCGCACAAATAAGATAAAAGAAAGGATGGGAGGAGGAGGAAAGAACTGCAGAGAGGAGGGAGCGATTAGGAGACAAAGATGGGGGGGCAGGAGGAGGAGGGCCGGGGGAAACGGGGAGGAGCAGGCGAATGAGAAGACAAATTGAGAAACACGAGGTCGGTGACACGGCGCACAGACGTTTGCTCTTTTCCTCTCCGTTTTATCCCCATTACACTTTAATGCACGAGGCGCTCCTCCTGCTCATACCAAACACCTGCCAAGAGGAGGAAACACTCGGGAGCAACGGCACCACGAGGAACTTCCGCCAACCGCTCGTAAACCAGGACGTCGGTGCAGGAAGAGCCGGGTCGGGGCCACGATGAGTGAAATCACCTTTGAACTCCAGGCTCGGAAGCTCGACTCCTTAAATCACATTAAAGACTTCGCTGCACAGAATGTATTCAGTCCACAGACACACAGTGTCACGATCCTGGGTCTTAGGACCCAGTGTTTTGAGTTTTAGTTCATCTTAATGTGTATAGTATGTTAAGCTCATTAGGCCTATGTTCATTTGCTTATTAGTTACCCCTTGTGTTTCCAACCCATGTTAGGTCTCCCCTGCTCTTCATGTGTTTCATGTCTGTGTCTTACCTTGTCAAGTTCTGGTTGTCATGTCTGCGTCTCATTATGTTTCCTATTTTATTTGGAAGAGATCCTGCGCTTTTATATCATGGTTTATGTTTTGAGTCCTTTGATGTACTGTTTCTTGTTTCCCTGGATCTCAGTTATGGTTATCTTAGGTTTAGCTCTTTGACTTTGTTATATGGCTTCCCTGTGTTCCATGTTATGTCCACTGTGATGTTTTGTACCACGTCTCCCCAGTTGCTGTTAAGTTTGCGTGTTTTAGAATTCAGTCAGTGTGTTTCCTGTTTTACTTTGAAGGTCCATGCCTCATGTGAGTGTTTCTAGCTTTGCTTGTCTCGTCAGTCCTGATTTCTCCCAGCTGTGCCCTCCTTCTGTGTCATTCCCTCGTTATCCCTCTGTGTATTTAAGCCCTGTGTTTCTCTTTGTCAGTGTCGTAGTCTCCCTCATAGCTGTGTGATTTTTCCCCTGTGGCTCCTCGTGCTTTAGTCTCCCCAGTTTACGTTTAGTACTGTTTTTTGTGTTTCACTTTATGCCAGCATTAAAGCTGTGTTTTTGAGTTTACGTTTCGTCTCCGTGAGTTTGCGTTTGGGTCCTTCTCCTGCCTGCCACACAGCCGAATCATGACACACAGTTAACAACCCCTGTAAGAAACAGCCGGTCTACAGACCAGCGTCTCCTCTGGAAGACCCGACTTTAATAAAAAGGCCGAGGTCAAAGTCGAGTTCCTGCCCCGAGTGGAGGAACGTGGGGTGAGGATTAGGGCGAGCAGGAGCAGGGCGGCGGCTGTACCGGTACAAGTGTCAAAGCAAAGCACCAGATTTATCGGTCTGCCTTCGTCCTTACACTCAGAGACATTCTCGAGCTCTGGGTAATGAGCGAAAGAACGAGATTACGGATACAAGCTGGAGAAATGGGCTTCCTGCAAGGGGGGGCTGGGCTCTCCCTGACAGACCGGCTGAGAGTCCAAATCAGCCAGTTGGGGTGGTCTGTGCATCTGACACGGACGCCTCCTGGGCCAGGTGTTCCAGACACGTCCTACTGGGAGGTCCCAGGGTAAAACCAGGACATCGGATCCAGCAGAGCCACAAAGTTCTCGCAAAAGAGCCGGAGGAGGTCTGGATATCTCTGCTGGAAAATCCGATGTTTCAGGAAATGTAGGAAATAAATGGAAAGTCTGCTACAGTTACATGTCCCTATGTGTCCTTGCTATGAATGTCGCCTCTCTGAGCTGAGTTGACTCACAAAGACGAGGGCCACGCTTCACAGAGTTTCAGAAAAACAACAAGTTTGAGCTTTTGTTTGGAAGACTTTGACAGAGGTGTAAACTTTGTGTGCGTCTTCCATATTTACTTTTTAAATCTGTAATGTGATTGGATTTTATGCCCAGTCTTATTTCTTTACTGCATGCTGTCTGCTTCATTTCCTTTGCTCTCTTCTGTGAATATTGTTGTTTTATTCTTGTTTTAATGGCTAATTTAACATCTGGGCAATGAACAACCATTCCAGACAAGCCATTTGGTTAACACTGGCACATTTACAGTAATGCTGATGGATAGTCAGCATCCCAGACCTTCAACGCGAGCTCATTTTCAGCCAGAAGTAATCATTGCTTTACATGATAAGAAACAAGGAAACAAAATAAGAAGCTGCAAATCGAGTTTTATGCAACAAACTGAAGATTTTTTCTTCTTCTCGAGCATGACTTCAGCTTCGGTACATCGTGTTCTGAGCTCTCGAACACACTGTTTTCGTTTTAGCTGTTCTTCAGAAACATCTTCAGATCACAGCTGGACCTCTGCTCTCAATGTTTCCAAACACGTCATTATAACCAAACCCGGCTCCACCAAATTAGAACCAGAGTCCACAGCCGGTGTGACGGCGATCGCCTAAAAAGTTATATGTAAGTATATAAAACCCGAGTGGGCCCAGCAGGGAGACCTACAGGGTCATTAAAGGGCCAATCTGAGGGGTTTTTACTCCTAACACATGTGCAGAGAGGGCAGGTGAACACATATCAATACACATGACCTCATTTCCTAAGCAGGTGGTGTTAAAAACTCACCTTCTGGCCCGTTCTGCAGTAAAACAAACATGTCTGCGGTCGTATTTTTAACGGCTCCATGAAAAAGGACAAACCTGCGTTAACACATCTTCTAGCGGACTCGGCGGTTTGATGGACACTCTCCGGAAAGACGGTTTCCCACGATTCCCACACCGCGGGCGAACCAGGCTTCGTGGTGGTCCAGCACCTCATTTGACAAACACAAAGTTGTTGTTTTCTCTGTCATTTGTCACCCCCGTGTGCGTTACGTCCTCGCTCGTGGTTTCTGATTAGCGTCTTTGTGCTGATTACAGGCCCCTTTAATGTGCACGCGAACGCAAACGTTGCTCTGCAGCTTTTAATCGCTGATAAGAGTTTGATAACGATCACGCGACTGTGACTCGGCGCTTTGGAACATTTATTTAACGGATGTTTAAGTGACGAAGACGCTTTGAACAGAAACAAAACGTTGTTTTTTAAAAATCAAACTCCGAGCAGAGTTCACAGCAGATGTGGCGATGAGTCACGGAGATGATCACGGGTTTCACAGGGAGACAAACAGACTGGCGAGAACGCGTTTAAAACTTTAAATTACACTTTGAGGGGATTTGAAGATCCTTTGCCACTTTGGAGATTGGACCCCTGCTGCAGAGACAACTCCGTTTCCACTCATTTCAACCTGCAGGGCTGAAAAGTGAAGCTGAACCGCCTCTAATGGCCACTTGAGGGTGGCTCCAGCGGTGAGTCACTCCTCAGAGTCCCACGTTAAAATGTCCGACTTTACAGCAGAAATGAACCCGTTTACAGCAGAACAGCATGTGTGGAGAAGTTCTGTAGAACTCATCCACTTGGTTACGGGTTGAGCGGCGATTACACGCGAGTCTGCTCAGGTGACATACGCTTTATCATCAGACCGCGAGCGCCACGGTGCGTGCAGCCGTCAGACTTTCCAGTGCGCTAAATACCATCATGGTGCCACTTATTACTCGTTGATTCTTCAAAGTAATGCAGCACGTTCTTTAGTTACTCCCAGGAGGAAAATTATTGTTCTTATGCTGCAGGCTTCAGTCCCACACACCAACACAAATCCCTGTCCTAACCAGGACAGACATGATCTTTCTCTGCATATTTAGCTACGAACGCAAAGCCGAAAAAACAAAAACAAAGATAAGAACCGCCCCGAAGAGACTTCAAAGTGATCGCCATGGTGATTCTACTGTAGAAGCATGGGCAGGTAAAAACGGAGGCTGCAGCCTGGCTGCTCTGGCTGCAGTGCCGGGGTCTGCATACACTCGGCTCCACTCCGAGTTCTTAGCTAGCTTAGCGTTAGCATGATGGCTGTGCTAGCAGTATAAACGCAGCTGTTTCAGTCCTGTTTGCACTTTAGCTTTGTGTTTTCATCCTTTAGTGCAGGGGTCACCAACACGGTGCCCGCGGGCACCAGGTCGCCCGCAAGGACCACATGAGTCGCCCGCGGGCCTGTTCTAAAAATAGCTCACCATAACAACTTACCAGTAAGCTGCATCTATTTTTATTTTTTCTTGCTATTTTTTTTAAATCACAATTGCATTGGCGTTAATTTGTTAGAGATAATATATAAAAAAAATGTTTATTATTAAATATTAGATCATGATCTAATATTTAGTGCTAGCTGGTCTCCACGGAAACAGTTGCCGTGAAGACCAGCAAAGGCAAAGGTGAGGAGATGAGGAAAACATGGCGGAAAAAAGGAAGAAAACATATAATTTTCACAGTGAATGGGAGGAAGAGTTCTTTTTTACCACTGTGAAAGATTCATGCGTGTGTCTCATTTGCGGGGCAACTGTGGCAACGGCAAAGCGGCACAACGTGGAGAGACATTTCCGAACGTGTCACACAAGCTACCATGCTAACTACCCAAAGGGCAGCACACTGCGAGTGGAAAAGGCCCGCGAATTAAAGGCAGGTTTGAGCAAACAGCAGTCTTTTTTCACGAGACCGGTGAAAAACTCTCAAAAAGCAACCGAAGCCTCATTTAGAGCTACACATTTCATGATTAAGAAAAAGAAGGCATTTTTAGACGGGGAGTATTTCAAAGAAGCAATGATGATAATTGCAAAAACTGTGCTTAAAGACGAGAAATATGGAAACGATGTAATCTCCACTCTCTCTGATGTCCAGCTGGGGGCAACTACAATTGTTAGAAGAGTGTCGGCTATGTCCGGGAACTTGGCCGATCAGTTGGATCAGGATCTGGCAAAGTGCAGTTGGTTTAGCATCCAGTGTGACGAGTCCGTCGACAGCAGCAGTACAGCACAGCTGATGGTCTTTATCCGGATGGTATTTGATGGTTTCTCCACAAAAGAAGAACTTCTGACACTACTGCCGCTAAAGACAACAACGAAGGGAGTTGACATCTATAACGCGGTGAAGGAGTTTTTCGCGAAGAAAAAGGTACCGTTGGAAAAGCTGGTATCAGTGACTACCGACGGGGCTCCTGCTATGATCGGCCGACATACGGGATTCATCGCTCACTGTAAAGGTGACACAGAGTTCCCAAACTTCATGCATTACCACTGCATCATTCACCAGCAGGCGTTATGCCCAAACGTGATCGGCTTCGAGCACGTCATGACTCCCGTCGTGAAGATCATAAACAGCATCCGCTCCAGAGCTAAACAGCACAGAACATTCAAGGTGCTATTGGAGGAGCTGTCAGCTGAATATGGTGACCTGCTACTACATACGGAAATCCGATGGCTCAGCAGGGGACGGATTTTGCTTCGTTTTTTGTCACTTTTGGGTGAAATCAAGGAGTTCATGCAATCCAAAGGGGAAGACACATCTCTGCTGGAGGACACTGAGTGGACACTTGACCTTGTGTTTTTAACAGACATTACTGGGAAACTGAACCATTTGAACTGTGAGCTGCAAGGCAAAGGTAAGACTGTTGCTGACATGATAAGTGCTTTAAATGGATTTAAAGCCCAGATGAACATTTTCTCTGTGCATTTACAGAGAAAAAAGGTGCTGCACTTTCCCTCTGTGCAGATGGTGCTGAAAGACAACGCTTCTGCATCTGAGACTTTTGACAAAGTTGCAGAAAAGTACACTCAAGTCATAAACCGACTTGGTCAAGAGTTTGAGAACAGGTTTTGTGACCTTGATCAGCTTGAGCCATGTGTCTCATTTGTTTCCAATCCTTTCATGAATGTGGACACAACATGCATTGCTGAGCAACTAAGTTCAATGTTCAGCTTGGATGCTGGACAGGTGGAAATCGAAATTGTAACATTGCAAAATCATGTCCACCTCAAAGCCTATCTGGGTGCACCAAACTTTTGGTGCCTTGTTGACACAGAAAAGTACAGTGGTGTGTGCACAGCAGCTATGAAGGTTGCCAGCCTGTTTGGTTCAACCTATCTTTGTGAATCAGCCTTTTCTGACATGAACTTCATCAAGAACAAACACAGAACACGCCTCTCCGATGCACATCTGCAAGACTCACTCAGAGTTGCAGTGTCAAGTTATACCCCAGATTACAACACACTGGTGAACAGCATGCAATGCCAGGTTTCCCACTAACAGACAAAGAAAGCCATATTAGATGTTCTCAGTGGCAACATTACAGTGTCATGTCAAAGTTTATTTTAATTATTGAAAAACAAATGTGTTTGTTAAGTGTAACATGTGACAATTTGCTTTAAAATGCTGCCAATTTGGTGAAAAGTTCTGTAAAATTTGAAAGTTGATTTTTGTATGTTACATACATACAAAAATCATGTGTGTAACAGTGCATGATTGTTAAAATTTGTTAGTGGTAAGTGAAAATGTTGTAGAAGTGATCACTTCAAAATGTAAATACTTGCAGAGATACATAGAAATAAAGCGTTGCATATTGATATTTATGTTTCCTACCTTGTTTCCTAATTGCATTCTTTATAATTATGGTGAAAAAGAATTAACATAATTAGTGTCCGTACATAGATGAATATCATTAATTATTAATGATAACACATAATTAAGTTAAACTGAGGAAATTTGTTATTTGAGAAGTGTGTGTCAAACTGGTAGCCCTTCACATTAATCGGTACCCAAGAAGTAGCTCTCACTTTCAAAAAGGTTGGTGACCCCTGCTTTAGTGCAATAAAAATCAAAGTAATGTCCATGTAGACTGCTCCATGATTTTCCACCTCCACACAAACTGAAATCAGCTGACTGTAGTGAAATGAGGAGGACTCAGGACGACTGAAGAACATTTGTAACGCAAGTAACTGTAACTGTGATTACTGAAGTTAGCGACGTGTTACTATGTCGCACCCAACCACACATACTTCCTAGGCGGATGTCAAAGAAGTTCAACAGGAATGACTCTGCTGGCGTCGAGGATTTAGGCTTAATGTTTGCAGTGTTATAGGTGTGGCCTCTTTGATCGACAGGTGGATACCGATACAAGCCCTGCAACTCAGCTAACTGAAGATGGAACTGCCAGGAAACGATGAAGAGCTTAGAAAAGGCGACCCCCGAAAAAGAAGGAGATCTGACGAACCGCGAGGCTCGCTGTGAGGTTACTGCACCAACAGACCGTCCACCGTACCTGAGAGACGCACCTGCACAGTCTGCTCTTCTGTTTCCAGCAAGCTAACATGGCGGCCGTGACATCCACTCACACTCAGACTGAGAGATAAAATAAACAGCTGTCAGAGACGAGGGAGGAAGGGGAGGAGGGGGGTCTTCAGTTTGCATGATGGCGCACAAACACTTGACTTACATGAAGACAATAACTTCAGCTGATATTTATGCCTTCACATGATGACTGATGATGGTTCCATTTTGTTTTTAACTGATGCTCCAACTTTTCTCCCTCCAAAAAAGTAATATTTTCAGTTTCCACTCGTTCCTCTTGAATTTTTTATGAGCAAATTGACAATGCCTAAAAAATAAAATTGCTGGTAAACAGCACACTTAAAGTCACTCGTTATTATCCGTCTGCTTTCTAAACATCCTGAATCTAAATGAAGTGAAATATTTAAACAGAGAACACCGTGTTTCTCCTCTTTTTGAACGTCGGCACTAAATGGAAAATTCTTTCAGAGCCGTCCATCACGTCTGCAGATTTCTCTGACATCCTGACAAAAAGCGAAACATAATTAAAGTGCATTTGTGGAGTCTCCTGGCGACAGGTCGGCGGGGTTCAGGTTAATGAGGTTAATATTCACTGAGAGTACAGTTTGTTTTCGTGTGTGAGGAAGAGCAGCGAGTACCCGGTGTTCTTCTGCTCCATAATGAGAGCGTTAACCTGCTCTGGAAATGTTTGACTTCCAGGTGTTTGTGCTGATGAGCTCGTTCAGGTTCCCGCCGCACGGATGCCGGCGCTCCAGCCGCTCGGGGTTGGAGGTTTGAGAGGGTTTCCTCGCGCGAGCTCTGCAGCTATTTTAATCAAAATAAAGTGATTAGGAATATGCAAATCGAGCCATTTGCTAATTGTCGCAGCCAATCCCTCCCCGTCTGCGGCTCTGAATAAAGCTGAAATTGGGGGGAAAAAAATCTCATTGTGGGAGCAGAATAAGCGCCGCCGGTCACGCCGATGCTGGAGGGTCAAAGGTGTCGCGGCGGCCGCGCTCACGCCGAGCGTCCTTGAGCGAGAAGCTGAACTCAGTCTCCGTCCTCCCCGCGGCCCCATCACCTCTGACTGCGGAAAAAAACCCAGGAAACAAAAGGTGGATCATCACGAGTCACATTTCAGATGAAACGGTTTGAAATTTTCTCTGAAGCGCCACAAAAATCTCCCGTACAACGACCCGCTGAGCGTCTTCTAACGCTCGGGCCGCCGCTGAGACGCGGCGACCGACTTTATTTACCGAGCCGTTTGTGTAATTTTGGCCGAGAGCGGCGGGGAGCACACAGCAGAGGACGGCCCTGAACGGTGGCTGGGTTTAATCACACACACACACACTGAGAAACACACACGTGTACACATTAATATGCATGCACATGCAATGGGAAGCACGCAGGGATGCTCACACACACACACACACACACACACACACACACACACACACACACGTTAAGCCGCTCACTCTAATAGGCTAAGCTTTACTCCATTTGGTTAAATGTTTTGTTTAAGAAGAGCTACACCAGTGGAAGGAGGGAAGGAGTGAGGAGGAAGAGGAGGGTGGGTGGGTGGGTTGGTGGGGGGTTAATGGTGAGGGACACTGGGTGGAGGAGAGGAGGAGGAGTAAGGAATTAGGTGAGAGGAGAGAAATAAAAGGAGGGACGGTGTGAAGAGGATTTTGAGAGGGAAATGAAGAAGGGAGGGAGGATGAAGGAATGAAATAAGGGCAGAAGGAAGGAATGAGGAAAGGAGGACATGACTGAATGGAGAAATTAGGAAAGGGGAAATAAAATAAGCATGGGGGAAAGGTTGGAAAAAAGAGAGGAAGGTGGGAAGCAAGGAAAGGTAGGAAAGGAAAGAAAGGTTTAATGAGAAGCACAAGGAGAAATGAAATAAGGATAAATGGAAGGAAGGAAGAAAGGGTGGGAGGTAGGAAAGAGGATATGATATAGTAATGTGAAAAAGAACGAAGGAAAAGGGGTTAGGGAGGGAATTAGGAATGAAGGAGGAAGGCAAATTAAATAATGTTGGAGGAAGAAAAGAAGGGAAAAAGGTGGGGAAAGGATTTAGTTGCAAAGGTGTGAAGGAATAAAGGAAAACAGGTTTAATGAGCAAGGTGGGAAGGTGAGGAAGCGACGAGGGCAAAGGGGAATGAAATGGGCATGAAGGAAGCGAAAAAAAGGAAAGAAGGAGGTAATAAACAGGAAGAGAATAAAATGAGTAACAGCTGAGGAAAAGGTAGGTAAGTAAGGATGAAGAGCAGGAAGAGACGATCCAAACGGACGTGAGAAATGGAAAGGAAGACAAGGAAGAAGGAAGTGTGGGATGAAAGGAAGGATGGAAGAAAGGGAGGAAGATGATTTTGTCTAAAGTGAGGAAAGGACGAAAACGGGGTTTATGGAAGAAGGGACACAGCTGCAAAGAAGGAAATAAGGAAGAAGGAGGCGACTGAGGAGACTGAGAGAAAGGAAGGAATCACTTTCAAATGAGGAAAAGAAACGGGATGCAGGGAAAATAAATGAAGAGCAAAGAAAGAGAGAAAAGTGAGGAGGGATGAAGTTGGATATAAATATGACTGAAAGGAGGAAGAAGGCAGGAAGAATCCAAATGAACATAATATATGGAAAAGAGGAGGAAAAGAGAGGGAGACAATGGGATGGAAAAGAGCAAAGGAAAGGAGGCAACAAGGAAGAAAAAAGTAGCGAGGGGAGGAAGAAGAAACAAAGGAAGGAACGAGAGAAAAGAGGGGAAGAAGTTAGAGACGAAGGAGAGAGATGGAGGAATGTAGGGAGGCGAAAGGAAAGGAAGTAAGGAAAGAAGGAAGGAGGTGTGTCACAAGAGAAAAGAGGAGCGAGGGAGGAGACGAGGGATGAGGACGAAGGGATGGAAGGAGGAGAAGTGTTGGGCTGGAAGGCCAAATAATGGAGCAGCTCATCTCATGGTGAATTTGAATGGAGGCTGAATTAATTTAAATCTCATCACGGCCCGCCCTCTAATACCTTATCAGTTCTGCACGGAGACAAGGGACGTAATCGCATTAGACCCGCCACTCTGCTCTACTGCGCTGTGCTGCGCGCGCACACACACACACACACACACACGCTACCTGTGCTGGTATGAGCCGCTCTGACACAAACACACATTGCTGTTGTCACGGCGCTGGTGGGTGTGCACGCGACTTCACGCTGTGTGTGCACGTGCATTAAATCCAATACACGCACACGGTGTGAAGACATGCCCCGTAAGTACCAACCAGCAGGACACCATGCATGTAACACACACACACACACACACACACAAGCAGCTCTATCTTTGCCAGAAGATCCAACAACATCCCCCAAACCTAAACGTTATTCCAGGCTGAATCCTGAAGCCACGTCTGGATCCTCAAACCGCTGCTTTGAGACCAAAATGTCTTCAGTCCACAGATGTCCTCACTGTAAACATGTAAGTCTCCGTCTTTACAGCTACAAACACACACGTTCAATTTTACTCCTTCACCCTGAGGCAGAGTCTGCACCTGCAAACGGCCCTTTGAGGACAAAATGTCCTGACGCAAAGGTTTAAACTGCTGCTTAGTCCTCAGAAGGACAACTGCTGCAGTTCTGTCTGCGTAAGGACCCCCTGTGGCTCAGAGGCCTAAAAGTCAGGAAGACAGAGATCCAACACAGAAACACACATCATCATGTCATCATGTCTATCTTTCTGAGCACCTCTGACCATCAGACCCCCCGCAGACCTAAACCTGAACTCTGAACCCTCAAACGCACCACAGTGTCCTCACGTTACACAGATGTCCTCACTGCACAGGTTTAAAATTCCATGCAGTTTTCAGAAAGACAGACAAGTACACACACACACACACACACACAGAAACAAATGTCTCAGACACACACAGCATGCAAATGCACACCCATGGGTGCTACAACACACATTCACCATGGAGACCCACTGACAAATGGGTGTAAAA